TCATCATATATCTCTTAGTTTCTGCCTATGTGTCTTTTTCTTCTTCTTGAAGACATCTCGACCTTGACAACCACACGGACGTGTCACTTTTCTTGCTTAAACTCGTGTTGATTACTATTGCCATTGTGTCTTCTTTGTTGAACATCCACACAGTTTCCTTTTTTGTTTCATGCGGCCGGTTGCTTTTTCCTCTCGTAGGTCACACAGTACGTGTGACTTCTTCGCTTCCTTAGTGGTTTTAGCTTCTTATGCATTTTGGTTTGAATTTATTCACTCGATTTTTTATTTTTTCTACAAAAATCCAAAATTGTTAACTTTTTCTTATTTATCTTAATATAACATAAAAAAAAACTAATAAATTTAGTATAAAAGGACATAAAAATTATGTAAATTACGTAACTATCCTAGTGAAATCCCCATCCACCTAATATGTTTCAACTTAATTCAAACGGATCGGCCAACAATGAGGTTTGTTGTGGTGGTGGTGTTACAAGGGATACCCAAGGGCGGATGATAACATGTTTTTCAAATTTTTATGGTCTCGGCACAAACATAAAAAAAGAAATTTATGCAAGGACTTAACCCTCTCAAAGGTTTTAGTGGAATCGGATTCTACTATAATAGTTAATGCGATCAAGCATAATACACAAGTTGTCTTGGTAATATGCATACTACCTACATCATTGTCGGTAGATGTCCGCAAATCATAGCTTTGAACATGTATGGCAATAACAAAATTCAGTTGCAAATAGTCTAGCTAATTTTGCTCACGGTCATCGATTTAATATTACCTATATGCACTACAATGGATATATCTATAGACATTAAAAATATTTGTAAACATGATATCTTTGGAATTTATAGCTATAGAAAATAGCATTATGTAAAAATTTTCAATTTAATAAAATTATAAAATAAGAGATGTGTGAAATGATTGAAATAAAAATGAAAGACATGGGAACCGATTAAAACTAAACAAAAGTTTTTGTTGAAATTATAAAATGTAACCCTTCGAATGTCAAATTGAAATTTACTTGTATTTTTATGATTAGGTTTTATTACAAGACAATGTAAGGAGGCCACACAAATGATCGAACTAGTGTTAAGCACATGATACCTACATCACCGACTAATAATGCTTAATTATGGGCTACCACAACATGCAGACTTGTTAGGTTTCATTCTTTTTGCCGGTTTCATCGTTCCGCCAACTTCGATATCTAGTTCTAGCCATAAGATAAAAGTGAGAAAATTTATGGCTGAAAGATTGGAGTGACAATTATATGATATAATTAGCGGTAGTTGAGAAAGGAAAACGAGTAGGGATGGGGAAGGGGAAAGGGAAAGGGAGAGATGGATAGCTAGAATATTACGCATGGAATCTCCATTATAGAGGGAACATGCATGTTCTACATAAAATTAAATTTCGTCTAACTTCAAAATATATCCAAACAATTACATGTTGTAAGATTCAATAGTTACTTTTTATTAAATTAGCAGGTAATACTACATGATTCTCATTTTTAGTTGTAGAATCATGTCTATTATTTGCATTTTTTATATTTAGCATGTCTTGACTTGTCACGATGTTTCGTGTATGAAATTCATGTTAAAACTTGAATTGGATCCGACATCAAATTGATGAGACTCCTCATTGTTTAGAAACCAACGAAAATTTGAGATTTCACAATAAATTTTAATTAATTTTACATGTCAAATATTGCATCCGCATTTCGTCAAGATTTTTCTTTTTTAATTATTGCATTTCACATCATGATTGTGCTATTTTACATTACAAATGTTGCATTCTCATTTAGCATATCTTCTACATATACTCTTATATTTAAAGTTAATTAAATTCAACATTAAATTGACGAGACTTTTTGTTTTTGGGTTTGATGAAAATTTAATGAGATTTCACAAATAATTCAATCAAATTTATTTTCTCCTCTTTTTGTATTTGCCAATCCATCGAGGTTGTGATTTTTAGAACCACTCGAGTTGTTCCTTAATCAACAAAATCAGTGAAATTTTCTAATTGGGTTGGGTGATGATAAAACCTAAACTTCTTTTTTTCATACTTTTACCCAAAAATAAATGGAAACAAGCCTTTGACTCATTTTTCAAACCTTGCTAGTTTTAGGTTCCAAAGGCCTAAACATATAAGTATGAAGAATTAAATCCTCATATTAATTTCAAATTCACATGGACTCGACTTAAAGATAAAGTCGCAAATAGCCTTAGAAAATGATTTGGTATATAATTATTTACATAAAATAAATTTAAAAGTAATAACAAGTAAGGTAATTTTTTCTTAAATATAATCAACTCTTTACCAATTTTTCTAGAACCAATGCAATTTTAGGATTTTTAGGTTTTTTAAAAGAATTAGGTGGCAACTCTGATTTTTTTTTTTTTTTTTTAAGTCTAGATGTCTCATGTGTCGAGTAGCAATAATTTTTTATGACTATTTTCTATTGTTTTGTGGGACGCTCATGCCATTTAGTGTTTTGAAATAGGCAAATTAGTTTTGCAATTTAGACATTCATGTGTGCCAGAAGTTTCTTATACTATAGCGATCAGTAGTTCAAATACTAATCGAGTTGAAAGTGTATCACAATGTCTCCTTTCAACATATCACTTTCTTGATCATGGATATGCTTTTAATTTCAATTGGGTTTTATGATGGTCAGGTGTAACTTTATACACTATTCTTGAGTCAAATATACCAAAAATTTTCAAAACCGAACCTAACATCAAACCTATTAAGATAAATAGTCGCAGGGTTGAGGTTTAATTGAGTTTAAACTAGGATTGATAATAAATACATTAAATTAATTGTCTATAACATAAAATGAATGTAAAGCGAATTATATTATAATTACAAAGAGTAAATTAATAAATACATAAATAATAGTCAAATGGTAATAACCAATAAAATAAAATAAATCAAGTCAAATGATAATGAAAACAACAAAAATTAACCATGTCTAGCTCGATAAAATAAGTTAATGATCTTAATAACATATTACACAACAATGCCCATCCAGCCACATTGTCACTTTAATCTCTTAATATAAATCCATGTCGTACAGCATTATCCTCTAAATTGCTGTATATTGATGCACCGACATTACCAAATGACTCTGAATCAAAGAGATAGCATTACCAAATGGATATATACATTCTGAAGATTGTAACAATCAAATAAAATTTAAAGAGATAGTCTCGTATGCATGAATATTGATGATTTTTCATTTAAGTGATGATATAACAATATTTATGACATAGATATTAACTGATGATGTAGCAAATTAGTGATGGCGTGCACTAATGAAATGGAAAAACGTCTTTGAAAGGAAATTTCCCTCCATTTCTACTTTTTTAGAAAATATAATATAATTAAAAAACTAACCTAACCTAACCTAATAACTTAACAATTATATTATTCTTTAACCTAAAAAAAACAAAGTAATTGCATTTTCTATTTTTTCAAAAAAAAAAAAAAATACTAGCATTTTCTATTTTTCATAAAAAAAAATCAAAATCATAATTTATAATAGTCATTTTAATTTTTTGTATTTGTGGCAATCTAACTAAAAAAAAATATTACTTTATTTCATTTAAATTAAAATTATCATGAAAAAGTTATACTTATTAACTCAAACAAGAAAGAAATATTTTATATTAAATTTTATAATAAAAAATAAATTAATAACATTAACCAAATATGGAAATCTAAAAATAAAATAAAATTATTTTTTTACATTTCTAAAAGTAAATTTTATAATTCTTAAAAAATATAAAAACTAAAATAAAAATGAAGGGAATTTTTCCTCTAAAAATATTTTTTTTTCATGTAATTAGTGTAACGTCATTACTTGTCATAATTGTCAATTCATTACTTATATGGGATCTCAACAGTGTTTTCATGTCATACATCCACCATCTTTAATTTTACTATGTTTTTACAATTTTGCAAGTTCACGCATCTATTTGAATATATATATATATATATATGTGTGTGTGTGTGTGTGAATTTTAACACGCTCTATTATAAAAATTCTCAAATACACATGCTTATTATGTTATTATGCTTTAAAACAAAAATCCACCTTATAATTAAATAAATAAGGACTTTTACTTAATAGAAATACTATGCAAATTAACTCCAATTAAAACAATTTTTTTTACTAGCTTTTCCAAATTGCGCCAGATGTCTATATAGGGGGAAAAATTGGCAAACAAACAGGGCACAAGATTTTCCAAACGTTAAGATTCTAAAATTTTTTTAAAATAAAATAAAGTAGTAGTAGCAAATTAGAAATTTCAAATAACTGGAGGCTAAAACAATTGCCTCTCTTGTTTTTCAAAAGAATACAATAATTTCTTTAATTTCAAAACTAATCAGTTAGTTATTGTATTTTTTAAATTTATTTTTAACTTATATTTTTTGTTCTAAAAAAAGGAAAAAATTATGTAAAAAATATGGAATGATTGATGATGTTTTTTTTTTTTTTTGGAACAAAGTAATATAATTACAAAGAACTCTAAATAGTTAATGGTTTTTCAGTTGCTATCCTGTTCACACACTCACAGTACATGATTCATTGAGTAGCATTTTTGTAGTTTAAGTTAATGGCTTTTTCGTTATTTTAATTGCTTTCTTAGACATTTAATACGCCCACAACACTGTTCACTGTAGCAATATTGCTCTTTCTTTAAACATCAAAATTGTGTTTGAAAAAACTGAGACAGGACATGATTTGTTTTGGAATCTCAGTATCAATAGAAGTGATTGAATTCACTTCCACTGCTAATGTATCACCAATATCATATTTATGAGGATAACTACCAGTAGGGTAAAACCCATATTCAAATTGGAAAATCAAATAAAGGGTCAACACCCAGATCTTAAAATGAGCACAAAAGTCTATTTCTTTAGAATTTTGAAACGATTTCAGTCAGATCTAAGAGACCCATATCTTGAAAACAAGTGATTAAGCCTTACAGGTCTGGTCTTTGCTGTTTTTTCCAGTAAAAGTTAAGATCTTGATTAAAAAAAAAAAAAAAAAAAACATAAAGAAGTTCTTGCTATACAGAGGGGTAAAAAAGAGAGAATGATAACTTGACCTTGGAGAAATAGTGATACAAAAAGATAAAGAGTCTGCAATATAGAAGAATTGTCCAGCAAGTAGAGATCTTTGAGATTTTGGAAAAATGGGATTTTTGAGAGACAGAACAAGGCTGAGGATTGGAAGGCAGAACAGAGTTTACAGTATTGGTTTTGTTTTCCTGGAGACTTAGAGTGCCGACGAGCCATTTGTCTTTCATGGCCGATAATATTAGCCATTTGTTTACTATGAAAAATGTTAATTTTTAACCATTGTTTAAATAAATACTTAACATCCCCAGTATAATGGGTTTTTTATTGTGAGGTTAGGACTTTTCTCATAAATTTGTTTTCTATTTTAGCTTTTTTTTTCTTTTTAATAATTTTGATCATGATTTTATAAAAATAATAGGGTGTCTCTTGTTTTTTTTTTTTTGCCCCCCTTTGGTTCTATAAAAAATCTTGCCATCCACAATTTAATTGCCCTGTGCTTACACCGTTCACATATTTACAAAACATATTCATTGGATAGTATTTTTGCTATTTAAATCAGTGATATTTTGATCATTTTTAGTGTTTTTATGCAATTAATATACCCACAATACTGTTTACATCCCTTAATGTAAGTGGTATTTTTTGTAATTTTGAAGTTTTTTCAAACATTTTAATGAATTTTTAGAATATTATTGTTTGTTCTTAAAACAAATTAATATAATAAATTCTTTTAATTTTTAAATGATGATAGCGCGTGCATATATATATAATTTTAAAAATTAATTTACGACATGATTAAAAGCATTTTCAAATAATTTGTCTTAGATTTTTTAGAAAAAAAAATATAAGAAAATTTTTTAGTTAAGATTACATTTATAAATTTTTAGTTGAGAATTAGGATATAAAAGAATAATTCATGTTTTTTCAATAGAAACTTTATGAAAATATAATGAATAATTAATTAGACACATGATTTAAAAAACATTAATGATCTTTTTTACCTTCGATTTATATATATTTTTTTACTTATAGTATAACAGGAACTATTAAATTATAATTATTTTTTAAAATAATTCTATAAATTATGTCCGATTTGTAGCATAGTACGGATAAATATCTAGTTTAAACTAAATAAATACTATTCGTAACATGTGACGGATTATGAGTTCTTCGAGGACTATTAGTAATATATGGTATTCAATTCGGGAAGAATTTTGATTTTTTCAAATCAAATAGAGTTGTGAGAACCTTTGCTATTTATTTTAGCATAGCAGGTGTTGTGAATTAATTTGCAGAGAGCTATACAGATCTTTATTTATTGTTCATACACACATCTTTTTTACGTTATTACATGGGAAGGGAAAGTCAGGTATTAACACATCTTTTTAACATTGATGATATGCTAATTAACATTAAAAAAAAAAAAAAAAAACCTGACCTGTTAACTATTTATTTACTGTTCATCTACACCTAATTTTACTGTAGACATAGACTCATCCCTCCTGCGCCTCTTCACTCTGCCTCCCAGCCCTTCGATCGTTCTTCCTTGCATCTGGTCCTTCTTCGGCCTTCCAATCTTCTTGTCCCAGTCTCTGCATTTCCTGTTATTTCGTTGATGTCCACCTTTCTCATCTCTTGCCCCTCTGTTTTACCCTTATTTTCGACAACTGCCACAGGCTTTTTGGTCATTCTCTTTCTGTTGTCCTCCAGCATATAATTCTTCTCTCTGCCGTCATTTCCTTTTGTTGCATCTCAATTTTGATACATTTTCTCCTGAATTTACTCTTCTTTTCTTCTTCATCATCCTGGCCCATTCAATTTTTTAAATTTAATAAAATTCTACAGATATTGCCCCTGTTTTCTGAAAATAAAAATTAGTTTTTTAACCAGAGGAACTACTTAATTTGTTTTTTAAAATTAAAGAGATTAATTTATAATTTACTCCATCCCATTTCCCTCTTTTTGAAGGTTTTTTTTTTTTTTTTCCTTTGTTGCTGCCCATAAAAAAGGAGTGCAGACTAATTTATAATTTACTGCATGCCACTCCCCTCTTTTTGAAGTTTTTTTTTTCCTTTGTTCCTGCCCCTAAAAAAAGGAGTGCAGTATAAATTAGATTCTACAACTTGAGCTCGTGACGTTAACTTGAGCATCTTCCTTTGGTTCTGGTCCTTCTATATTTCAATTCCCGCCTTTTTGTTAGTCGTTCCATCAATTCTGCAGGGTTCTGCCAATCAAGAAAATGGCGACAGTAGATCCAGAAATGAACAACTCGGTAGAAAACTCAAAGTTCTACCTTGTTAAACTGTTTCAAGAGCATTATCCTTCTGGTTTTCTCAGAAAGGTACTATTCTGACCTGGTTTCGTTATATATATATATTTCACAGTCATTTGCTGGAAACTTGAAAACACGTAGACACAAGACCGGTACCTACGTCCAATAATTTATTTGTTTCGCCTTAAACATTCTTCAACTAATTAACTAACGTGAAAACTTTGAAGTACTGTCTTTCTTTGTGTGAGAACTGATGGCATTTATATACACACACAAATAAACAGGTGGTGGCAGAGGTTATAGCAACCTATCTGTTGGTCTTCGTGACATGTGGTGCTGCTGCTATTAGCGCTAGTGATGAGCACAAAGTCTCAAAACTAGGAGCCTCAGTAGCAGGAGGGCTCATCGTAACTGTGATGATCTATGCAGTAGGTCACATCTCTGGTGCACATATGAATCCTGCTGTCACCACAGCTTTTGCAGCCGTCCTAAACTTTCCATGGAAACAGGTATCATCGTCAATTCCAAATGTTTTGATTCTTTGTTTACTTCGATTTTCTTCTTTAATATATTTCGATAGGATTTAAGGATTACTTGAAAAACTAACCTTTTTGAAGCACATGCTTTAAAAAAGTATGTATATTTTTTTATATTGATTTTTTTATGATATTAAGATATTTTATAAACTTTAACAATGTAATTAAAATTGAAAGAGATGTGTGGACAGATTGAAATAAAAATGAAAGACATGGGAACTGACTGAAACTAAACAAAAGTTTTGGTTGAAATTCAGACAAAATACAACCCCTTCGGATGTCAAATTGAAATTTACTTGTATTTTTTTATGTTTAGGTTTTATCTCTAGACAACGTAAGGAGGCCACGCAAACGATCGATATATATAGTGTTAGGCACATGATAGCTACATCACTGACTGATAGTGCTTAATTATGGGCCACCACCACATGCAGGTTGTTAGGTTTCATTCTTCCTGCCAGTTTCATCTTTCTGCCAGCTTCAACATCTAGTTCTAGCCACAAGATAGAGGTGAGAAAATTTGTGGCTGAAAGATTGGAGTGACAATTATATGATATCATTAGTGGTAGTTGAGGAAGGAAAACGAGTAGGGATGCATGGGGAAGGGGGAAGGGGAAAGGGAAAGGGAGAGATGGATAGCTAGAATATTATGCATGGAATCTCCATTATAGAGGGAACATGCACGTCCTACATAAAATTAAATTCCCATCTAACTTCAGAATATATCCAAACAATTACATGTTGTAAGGGGGATGGATGTTAATTAAATCCTTGACATATATTTTATTTTTATATATAGTAGGTTTTATTAATTAAATACATGCAACATGTATTAATTATATATATAATGTACGTTTTATTCAAATTTTAAACTTTTGCAGGTCCCATTTTATGCTGCGGCTCAACTAACAGGAGCAATTTCTGCTTCTTTTACTCTCAAAGTTTTACTTAATCCAATAAAACATGTCGGCACTACTTCACCATCTGGAACAGCTGTTCAAGCCCTCATCATGGAAATCGTCGTAACATTTTCTATGATGTTCCTCACTTCTGCTGTGGCAACCGATACTAAAGCTGTAAGAATCATGTCCTTAAACACTAACATCCGAAATTATCCACTTTGCAATAACCGCTGTTGCTCACACTTGTTTATATATTGATGCTGCTTCAGGTAGGAGAATTGGCAGGTATAGCTGTTGGTTCGGCAGTCTGTATAACATCCATCTTGGCCGGGTAAGCAAGATCATATATATGTATATATATATATATATATATATGTAGGTCAAAAAAGTCGTAAAATTCAATTTTTTTCCTAATCATCAAATAACGCCAAAGTTTTATTTAGCAAAGCCACAAAACCAATATTAGGGGTAACTAAATATCGGTCTAATCATCCTCAGACCAGTATCAGGTGGATCTATGAACCCAGCAAGGACACTAGGACCAGCAATTGCTAGTCAATACTATAAAGGCATATGGGTGTACTTGGTCGGACCAGTGACAGGAACATTGCTTGGAGCATGGTCTTATAACCTGATTCATGCGGCTGACAAACCAGTTCAAGCAATTTCTCCACGTTCTTTTTCATTCAAACTTCGCAGAATGAGGAGCATCGAGGAGCAGGCTCCAAACAAGGACCCTCTGGATGCTTTGTACGTGAAGGGATAGTCTAAAGCTCGCAACATTTTAAGGCGTCCACCGCTCCTTTTTGGGCTCATACACAATGTGCTGAACCAAGCTTTTTGATCTCCTATGTTGCTTTTCAAGCCTGTTTGTATCATATATGTTGTCAATGGATTAAAGCTCAGGAATAAAATTCCAAACTGCAGTAGAGATCATTCAAGCTTGAGATGAACATGTCAGTTTCAGATTTAACAAAGCTCGAATGATTTAAGGCTAATTGACTTTATGGTATTCTGAATTTTTGATCAAACATATCAGAAACAGGTCCTCAACTCTTAATTTTTTGATTTAGATCCCAAATTTTTCTTTTTAGTCAGCAATCAAGTCCAATCTTCTCATTAACCAAACCTCAACTATAATTTTTGCACATGGTCTAATGAAAAAAAGATGTGTGTTCTATGAGAAACACTTTCAAACACGTGAACAGACTCATATAAAGTAAAAACAAAAAATAAGTAAATGACTAAAAAACCCAATCCATTCCTTCCAAGATTAAAACAGAAAAATCCTTAAATCATTTTAAAGTAAAAAAAGCAACAAAACAGAACTAACAATTGGTGTTAGTGCTGGTGTTAGTATTGCCATGGATTTTTGATGTCACAATACTGCCTACTGAACTTTTTCATACACATTATAAGAAAATTAGCAATTAGCAACGGATAATATTTCATCTTCAATTAGCAATAAATTAACGACGGATTAGCAACCAATGAAAAAAGTTGATATTTGCGACTAATTAGTGACGAACCAGACAAGGGACAATTAGTGACGGCATTAATTTCGTCGCAAAATAACGTGACAAAAAAAGCGTCACGTTTAGTGATGGATATCCATCAATAAATTAGCTACGGCTTACGATCCGTCGCTATCAATCGCTAAATAGTGGCGAAAGAATCCGTCGCTACAATAAGAGATGGTCGGAGGCACAAAATTTGGCTAGAAAATAGCATCGGAATGTTCAATCCGTTGCTATTTTTGGGTTTTTGGGGGAAAATCTCTCGTCAAATTAGGGACGAATTCCCCAATCCATCGCTAATTTGGTGTTTGGGCGGGAGTTTTGAAAAAATTGTATTTGACAATGTTTTTAATACAATCATAAATATGCTAGGCAAGACTAAAGACAATATTAACTCCGGGAAAGACTTGAAACTTTTATCTAAAAGGCTGGAATTAGTAAAGGATGATGCATCTAGAAAGTATCCTAAAGCTAAATTTATTCTATCAAATCAATAAAAAAACAAAATTGCTTGAATGGATAAAACAACGCAGGTTTCTTGATGGATATGTGTCCAATCTAGCTAGATGTATTGATATGCAACATGACAAACTTTATGGGATGAAAAGTCATGACTATCACATCTTCATGCAGAGGTTACTTTTTATTGCATTTCGAGAGTTTTTGTCAAGAAATGTTTGGCAAGCACTTACAGAGTTGAGTTTGTTCTTTAAGCAATTAACTTCTATAGTGATAAGGCAATGAGATATATTGCGACTTAATGATGAGGTACCTATCATTTTATGCAAACTAGAGCATATATTTCCATCCGAGCTTTTTGAATTCATGGAGCATCTTTCAATCCATCTCGCCATATGAGGCATCTATTGCGGACTGTGCAATATCGGTGGATGTATCCATTTGAAAGGTATTGACATTTAATTTAAATGTAAAATTAAATAAATGTCTAACTTTCAAAAGTTAAAATAATTCATATTTGTAGGTATCTACGAAAGCTAAAAAAATAATATTAAGAATAAGACTAAGGTGGAATGATCAATATGCAATACATATTTGGTCGAAGAAGCATCTTTATTTTGCTCGTTTTATTTCGAGTATTATGTTCATACTAGGCATCGGAAAGTGCCCCGTAATGTTGACCTTTAAGATGGAGAAGAAAGCGACCACATTAAAGGAATATTATCCTTATTCAAACAACAAGGTCGACCAATTGGTTGACACATAATACAAAAATTGACACAACTCGAACATAACGCAACCCACTAATATATATTATTGAATTGTTAAGAAATAAAACCTTACATTGAGTGAGTTTATCAAAATTCAAATTCTATATCATACTTATTTTATTACATTTAATAATATTAGCAACATAGTAGAGAGTAACTCACGTCCGTTTTTCATTCTCTTCTCTCTAATGAATTTCTTGCCGAAATGCAATCGAACAATCCCTTCATATCCAAGAATGAGACCAATGCTCTAATTGAAAATGAGTTTGCCTCCTAGTTTAATCAATATGTAAGTATTATCATTTTATATGTTTAGTATGTTCGTAGCATTAATTGAAAGATAACTAAACTTATAAAGGATTTTATGTTTAATTTACATATAGAAAATGCATAAGCAATTTTCATGAAAGACCGAGTCTTGAAAGATCTCGCACAAGGCTCATTACTTACCGTAAAATTGTACGGTGATTATTTTATTAATGGTTATAGGTTTCACACATTTGAGAGATCTTCGAAAATAGGATCTTTCATTAATGGTGTCTGCATTAAAGAAAGTAATTACAGATACGATGATAGTGACTATTATGGGATACCGATAAAAATTCTTGAAGTAGAGTATCCTGTATTACCAATCAAGAGAACGAGTATTGTTCAAATGTGATTGGTTCGATCCTACACTGCAAGGAACAATGGTTCATCCACGAGTTACAAACTTGTGGATCCGTAAGAGAGCTTTAAACAATTCCAAACCATTTATCTTACATCACAGTCGACTTCATGTGTACTATATCGAGTACCTTAGCTTAAGTCGTGAGAATCAAGAATGGTGGGTTGTGCGTAAGATTAAAGCTAGGTCTATGTTTGACTTCCCCGATTCATTAAGCGTCGTCTAACAAAATGTTGAACCATTTTAGTGGGACGATCTAAAAATCCGACACCAATTGATAGAAGAAGTCAAGGACATCACTTTGTTGAATAATTTAAATGGATCGTTTGTAGATATAAAAGTAGGTGTGGTTAATGATGATAATGATTGTGAAAATATGTCGGATGATGGAGATGATAACTTAAACAATGATTATGATAGTTCTAATTAAATTTATATTTCGTTTGTTATATTAGTAAGAAATGATGTAATTTATGTCTCTTTATTAATTTGTTACATGCGAGTTAATAATATCGGTTTTCCTACCTTCACTAAATGTTTGTTATATATGTTTTTTTTGTATTCATAAAAATTATGTATTTTAATTTAATTACATATTAATTTACTTTGACAATATATTTGTTTTATTTTTTTATTTTTTTAACGTTAGATCATACACCAATAACTCATGGTAATCGTGGTTTGCGTCGCCCTCTCGCAGATCACTATCGGATCACGTTTCGATAATCATGGATGAGCATCATCTTCCGATGGTATTCCACTAGGATTCCTGTCGGTATCGATCATGAGTCTCCGACGACGAGCCTTTTACATGGGTCCCACAACTCTCGTGGCCATGAAGCCAGCATATTTGCATTGGTAGGTGTTCTTACATCGGCACCTAAGGTTGCACCGCGACCTTCGAGAGTGGCCCCTCCACTTATGTGTTTGACATTTCACAAAGTTCTCATAGCTCCTCCAATTGACGATGTATTTACGTCAATTGGGGATAGTATGTAATTATTTTTTTACTTTAATATATAATTTCAATAATTCTTATGTTGTTTTTAATATTTCTTTTATTGTTTTATTGTTCGATAGTTTGACTCCACCAAGTAGAGATTATTCTATGAAGATCTTTCGATTTTTAAAAACCGGGTAGACAAGAGTGGATCATCCTCGAAGTCTGTCACCAATGTCATTAAAGACTTCTCCTTCAATGAATTTTGAGTAATGTATTATCAATTTTGTTTATAATTAAAATAAAAATTTCTCATCAAATAAATTTTTTAATATTAATTTTTTTGTTCATGCGAAATATTTTGACTAAGATGTGGCCATCAAGGTGCTTGTTAGAACAACATGGGAAGGTATGGCCGGAAATGCTATACCGACTTCATCTACAAGATCGGTTTAAAGAATGACCGACCTCGTTTATATTAGTCGGGAGGTCTAGGATGCGTGACGAACGGATTTCGGGAGACTTGATCGCTTAGCCCATTCAACGCAAGTATCGCGAAGCCGGTTGTTCGGAGATCGATGGTCTTGATACGGGTCTTTCCAAGCATACATGGAGCTTCATATCTTCGAAAAAATACACCCGTCGCTTGGTAAATTACAATCTTTATTATTATTAACTTATTTCAAAATATTTTAACTTTCTTCTCATATTATCTATAATGGATTTTTTTTTCAAGAGGAAAAATTAGGCCCTCGGCCAATGAGTGTTGAGTTGTTCCGGATGACTCACAAGCGACGAGATGGTTCATTCATCGATCTACGCTCCCAATAGACAATGGTAAGTATTTTTTAATTTCAAATTTTAAATATGAACGGATAATCTAAATTTTATTTTAATCCTATAATGATGATATCATTATTTTGATTACGCACAACCATGTGGAATAGCTTTTCAATGATGCGATTACGAGGCAAGAATCATGGAGCTAGAAGTTGACTATAATGCCATGTACCTCGAGGTCTGTGAGGGAGAAGAAGAAAAGTTTTATAGTATAAGCACATAATCGGTGCATTATCCGTCTTAGTCAAGTGGCGACTGTAACGCCCCGCCCCGATCATATTTCTACTACCCAAGTAGGTACTCGGACGAAACACGTTACGCCGACATACCCTAAACTCTAAGTAGTTTTCTTATGATATTCTTAGAACTTTAACAAGTACATTACGTATATAACTCCTTAAGATAAAATTTACATAACATAATTAAACATTAATAAAACATTACGAGCAATATTCAATTTCTCACGAACTCCATACCCTAAATTTACGGACAAAATAAAAACTAATATATGGTGCCTCACATGAGCCGGTTAGGAGGAGCCAGCCGCATCCGTACCAACTTGTCCTTTTTCTGTCAAGACATAAAAAAAATAACAACGAGGTGAGCCAAAGCTCGGTAAGCGGGGTGATGCACGTGATATGCAATATTATTTTGACTTTCCACCATACTCATAAATTTTAATCTCGGGTACCCTAGGTATTAGTTAATCTACTCTATTTATCATCCGGGTGGTCCACGAGATCACCTTCGGCTACAACGGAACTATCCGTCGTTGTAACTACCGTTAGCGAGAATCCCTCGTCTAACAAGGTGCAAGCACACAGACTTGATTTCATCCGGATGATCCTCGGATCATCTTCTCGCTACAACGGAATTATCCCTCGTTATAACTACTATTAGCGGAAATCCATCGTCTAATAGTACGAGCACACAGACCTAGAGTACTTGACTACTAATACCCATTTATTCTAGTTAAGTTATCAAACCTAGATGTATAAACTATTTCTCAATCAATTGACTTGTCTTAAACCACCCACTATGTACATGATGCACGTGATGACATATTTAATCACATTCAACCAAATTCGGGTACCAACCCTTCATTCTCATGCCATACTCACGGTCCAACCCACACTCGGAATTTATCCATTGCTCACATAACAATCATGATACCCACAACGAAAACACAACCTCCGCTCATTAATATTGTTAATTAGTTTCGTTAATATTTAAAAGAAGGTCCAAGTCCATTTACTTTAATCCAAGACCATTAACTTTATCCTAAGTCCATTGACTTTATTCAATTCTATTTTATTTAGTCCAAGCCCATTTAGTTTATTCCAAACTCATTAATTTTGTCCAAGTCTAATTCTTTGGTTTTAGAGTTTATTACCGGGCAACTCCTAATCGAGTAAATAATTTTCTAATTTCATAACATAATTAAATTTTACTCATTTTATTTTAGATACTAGACATATTTATTTATAACATATCTAAAAATTAGATCTAAATACCAAGTACACAATTAATTACAAATTTTTTAAACTTAGGGAGCAATCTGCCTAGTAGTAGTTTGTCTAGAGCTATCCATACTAAATTGGGTATAACTCTTTGTACACGAATTCAATGACCAAGAAATTTTAAAGGAAGTTAGTTGAAACATAGATGAACAACTTTTATGCTTTAATTTTTACCTATAAATCGATCTAAAAGCCTTGAACATACACCCCAAAAGTCCGACAGAATTTACTCCTTATCAACACTAATTTATTAGTTCATTCCAAGCCAACTTTAAACATTTTATAGTTCACTTAAATTTAGTCCAATACTTGGACGTTTTTCAAAACATCATAATATCATAAATCATCACAACAAGGCATCCATACATAGATTTATCCCAAGCATCAAACATATAACCATTGAAAATTATTACAACTCATGAAATAAACACTAACAAAATAACTTTAAAAAAATAATTTAAGACATTAATCAGTCAAGAAAATGAAACCTACTTACCTCTTTTAGGTTTGATTAGAATTTCCTTAGCTCTTTTCCTTTTCTTTTTCCCTTTCTCTTTTTCTTTCCTTTCCTTTCTCTCTTCACGTTTTTCTTCCTTTCTTTTCTTTCTTGCCTTTTCTCTCCTAATTTTTGGTACCTACGGGTTGCTCAAATTTTTCTCTCATTTTAACACTTGCTATATATATATATATATATATATATATATATACTTACTTTCATTCAGCTACAAGTGTTAGAAATTAATGAGACAAGGTGTAAAAGTTATGGGTGAGTCATGAGTAAAGTTGGTTGCTTTGGAATCCATAATGGGTGAGTTGACATTAAATTCATTTATTGCATTTACTTAGGTGTCTATATAAAATTTAGACTAATTAAAATCATTAATTAACTTAATTCAAGTAACTAAAACTACTTTCTTTCATAAAAATTCGGAAATTTCCATTTTTAAAATTCGGAATTTCTTTTCCCCCAAAATTCCAGCAGTGTTACCTCTAACCCAGCTATACTAAAACGTGCATAAATCTTTCTATATATATCCAAAAATTATGAAATTTTATAGAGAGCTATTAAACACATAGAAAAACAACTTTATTCTTTAAGTTTTTCTCAAAAATCAATCTAATATCATCAAATAAATCTCACAAGATTCGGGAAAATTCTTCTCCTGAAATTCCAGCAGAATGCATTTCAGAACAACCCTCACCATAATGGATATAACTCTTAATATATAGGTCCAAAAATTATACAATTTTATATAGTTATATGCAACACATAGATGAACAACTTTCATTCTTTAAGGTTTACCCAAAAATCACCCTAAAGTGCTCAAATAATTCACATAAAACTCGAATAGAATATAGTCCTTAAAACATTGATTTTGCATATTTGATTTCTTTAATAATTAAGCCATTAATCTTAAGCACAATAACTTTAATTTAACATAAATCACATATTTCAAGCATTAATTTCTCATGATGAAATGGGAATTATATTTACTCTTAATATACATATATATAGAATTATACTAATACACGTCGCGTTACGGATAAGGGGTTTTACAAGAGTTACACGGCGGCTCCTATGCGATGTCGCATTACGCCGCCAACCCGACTAATGAAAAGCTTCGGAGGGATTACAAGACTATGAAGAAAGCGATGAAGGAGATGCAGGTGATACAAAACGAGCTTCAAAGCCAAATCTCGGAGCGACATCGGACTATTTATAGTCTAAAATCTCATTACGACTCGATGTCATCCTTAGTGATGAGGCTGGCACAAACAACTAGGGTGCTTATAGATCCATCGGTCGGTTAACGGTCTACTTGTTCCTTCCACTCAGCCTCCCGTTTAGCCTCCAACCAATTCTTCCACCGAGCCCTACACACAATATCGGAAGGAGGATATGGGATTAGACAACCGGGATGAGTAATATGGCATTTAGTCACCTTTTTTTTTAATGAAACGTACTATAGAATGATATTAATATTATTTTTTTTAATATATACGTTATTACTTTTAATTGTTAATTATTAACTACAATATTAATTATTAAATGAAATATTAATAATTCAAAAACAATTCAAAAAAAAATTATCGTTGAATAGCGACAGATTTATTTTTAAAATTCACAATGGAATAGCAAAAAATAAAATTGTGATGACTATTAACAATGGATTTTCGATTGCTATCTAAAGATAGAAATAACGACGGAATAGTGATGGAAATTTGCATCGCTATACTTGCGACAGAATGGATTTTCCGTCATAAAAAAATAGCGATAAGTGAAATAACGATCGACTAAGTGAGCGTTGCTGTTTAGTCGCTAACTACTATTAGCGATGGGATTTCGGCAATTAATGATGAAATATTCCATCGCCAATCATCATCATCTTCTTCTTCTTCTTCTTCTTTTTTTTTTTTTTTTTGAGTGACACTAGAGTGGGTTCCTATGTTACGGTTACAACAATTTTCTTTTCATATTTCATTGACGATGCTGAATTTGTAGGGTTTCGTCCTTCATGTGTTATTTTATGTTCTTCGATAGTACCACTGTCTCCTTGCCATATCCATACTTGACGGCTGTTACATTTTATCAAATATTTGATGGCTAATTTACAAGAAACAGCAACTCAAAAAAGAAGCAAATTTGTCTATTTAGATTCTTTTATACAGTAACAATTCTCAAAATAGATTAGAGAGGTCAGGAAAAAAATTTCACAGGAGGAAAGAGAGGTATTTTGCAAACTACGAAAACTTTAGAAGAAAAAAAATATAGGTGAGAGAGTAGAGGGGGAAAAAAATGGAGTTGGTGACTGTGGAGAGTGAAGGCACAAACTTTCAACACTTTTGGCAATAAACGATGCCACTGCATTGAAACTGCAAAGCAATACAAGCAGACGTTTTGAAAATTGCCATTAATAGATAAAAGAAATATATATATATACACAGACGTTTATGTCTTCTCTGTCTACAAAATAGTTTTGAAGTCTAATTAAAGCAATGTGCACCAGACGTTACATGCGCCAACAGATACAAATACAATGTTGATGCAAGACAAATCAAAATGTTCAAAAACAAATATCAAGTTGATATTTTACATGTTCTACATATTGGTCGAGTCATACACAAAGGAAATCATAACTGCATGGCGCCACTCTAATATATATCATAAAAATCTGGAAGGATATCAAGCAGCATTTTGAGACACAACAAAGCTCGATGGATTGATAGTAATGCTCTTAGTGCAGTTATCAGTTTTATAGATCCCAACAAGTCGATCAGCCAACTCAAACATGTTGTTCCTAAGGCTGCATACAACAGAAACAGTATATAAAAATGGCTGGACGAATTGAACAATCAGTATCTGTCAAAAAAATCTGCTTTGGACGTCCAACTACCTTATGATGATGAACTGTGCATCCTTTGTCCGGTCCTTCACATAATGTCCCACAATAGAAACGTTCTTGAAATCTGGCATTCCATGTGAACCAAGAAAGTTAATGGAGACGACAAGGAAAAGTAAACAACTCAAAGGCTCTAAATATATCAACTAAGATCATAAGTTTGAAAGAAGACTACCCAGAGCAGCATCAATTTCGTCCATTACATACAGTGGAGTAGGCTTGTAATGATGAAGTGCAAAAACAAGAGCTAATGAGCTCAGAGTCTGAAAATAGTTAAAAGTAACATTGTTATTATAACAAGAAAATAAAATAAAATAAACACCACTGGGATCCGTTGGACTCCATCCTTGGAATTCATTTGTTAGAATATAACAAGGATATAGAATGAAGGTTTAGATTTAACCTTTTCACCACCAGATAAATTTGCAATGTTCTTCCAGCTCTTCTTTGGTGGTCTGACACTAAACACAACACCTTCAGAAAATGGATCCAAAGAATCCACTAGCTCAAGTTCTGCATCACCTCCAAGAGTAATCATCTGTGAACTCATCGGGGAAGAAATGTGAAATCATCAATGATAACATTTACAGCCAGTAGTAAACAATAAGGATGTAGTTATTTTGCACTAAATCGCCATTTCAATAAATCAAAATCACAAAACAAGGGTGTCAAATCCAGAACACGCATACAAACAGGAGTACTGTGCACATGCTCACACATAAGAGAGAGAGGGAGAGACAGAGAGATCATCATACAAACCTGATACATTTCCTTCAACTTCAATGATATTGCATTGAACCCTGCCATGAATTCATCTAACCTGAAAAGTTATCAATTCAGTTATTTAAGAATCACCTATTTGCAAGGGATACATGAAAGATATTGGATTACATCAAGAAGGAAATGCTAGCCTTTTCTTTCTCCATTCATCATACTGCTTTTTTATATCATCACGTTGTTGAGTTACCATGTTCAACTCCTCAACCCGTTCATTATATGACGAAACCTTTCTCCGATATCTATAATAATCAGTAGATTCAGCAAATTTACATTGAAGATTAATAATTAAACATTTATGACATGCAACTTCTATGTAACAAGTAACAGAAAAATTCATACTCTGAGATTGAATCCAAGTTTGGGTTCATATCTTTCATTTGAGCTTCCAACAACACTACCATTTCAAGGCCCCTTTTGAGGTCACAAGCCTCAGCAAGAGTCTTATCAGCAAGGGTTGCTTGAAGCTTTTCAGGGTCCACTTGATCTTTCTGAATTCTGCAACCAAGAAGAATGTTAGACATGCTTCAAGAAAATACAGAGCCCTTAATATAAATGGCTAATCCATAAATCAACATACTGCTCCATATGGCGCAGGTGAGCATTTTGCAAGTCATCAAGCTTCTTTTTGTAACCCTTCCCCTTCAGTTCCAACTCCTTGTAGCTCTTCTTCATATCTTGTAATCTGTAATCAGCATCAACCTGTGCTATAAAGATGATAGTTACTTGTACTAGTGATAATCATTTAACAAATGATAAAAGTATAAAAAAGTGTGCTTTCATTGACGGAGTACCTCTGATGCCCGCATCTCATCCACAACTTTTTTCACTTGTTCATACTCAGATTTGGCTTTATCCAGCACTTCTTTATGCTGATCGATAAGCTAAAAGAGCAACAAAAGAAAGACATATATAAGTATAAAAAAAATAACAAAAATAATAAAAGATGCTCTTATGAGTACATCACCATGGCTGAAAGAAAATAAACAAAACAGACCTCCTGTGTTTTTTTGTAATTCTCTTGAACTGCAAATGCCTTTTCTTCAATTTCTTTGAAAATACCTCTCAGTTTTTCCCTCTCCTTGAAAAGCCGTTCTTTTTCCTTGCTTGAATCCTCAATCCCCTTGGTCAACTTCTTAATCATTTTCTGACCTGTCTCTATTTGAACCTTGCGACGGTTGATCTCTGTGCTATTTCTATCTATATCCTGATTAATGGGCAGCATGAATTAATTCAGATGCCACATTACAGCAATTCAAATATTTTGGAGCAATTTTGTAACTTACAGACTGAATCTTGTTGACCTTTGTCTTCTGTGATTTCAACCTTTCACCCCCAGCATTTTCTATTTTGCTCTGAAGCTCCAAAGCCTACAGGTAGAGACAGTTATGGATAGTCAACAAAACTAAATATCAAAGGGTACAGAACATGACTCTTTGGATTTAAGTACAGTAAATTATAGCAGATAAGAAAATCCATAAAAGTTCCAGTGAGGTCAGAATATTAACCACAGATCAGGATGGCCACCAGACAACATTTTGTTGTGTGGGCATCCTGAATGATTGGCTTGGAACTTGCATGGACAAAGAAACACAATAAACTTCTTCACACCTTTTCCTTGAGCTTCTTAGACCCTTGAATAAGTCTGTCAATCTCCGTTTCCTCTGTGATTATTATTCTCTTGAGTTTCTTCAGTCTATCAAGCTCATCCTTCTTTGGCTCTGATGCAGCTTTCAAAGAACCAAGTTGTTTCTCCAGATAACTATTTTCTGTATTCAGACTATCAATCTGTTCGGGAGGAAGGTTTTAAAGCATTTTATTTCCCCGTCCGGAAAATAAACAAAATAAAATGAAACACATTGGAAAAGTCATAGAAAAACATTACCTCTTTCTGGCTTTTAGCCAGTTCCATCTCCAGGTGTGCAATTGCTTTTTCTGAGGCTTGGTAATGTCTCACAGCATCAGCAATTTTTTGGCGGATGCCATATAATTTATCAACCATCGTAGAGAGCTCCTTCTCTGCATCTGTGACAGCTTCTCCAGACACACTAGCAGCCCGAATAGATGTCCCCATCTTACCACCACGTGGCTTAGTTCCCCCACCACTCATAGTGCCAGATTTTTCAAAAAGTGCACCATCAAGAGTAACCACTCGTCGAAATTCCAAATTTCCACCATATGCAATTCTTGTTGCCTATAGGTTGAAAAAAAAAATGCAAGTTAACTAAATCCTATCTGAACATGCTTCACCAGTAAATCTGAAAGAAATCATAGATGCCTATGATACTAACCATCAAAGGTGTTGTTAAAATGAAACTAAGCACACAAGTCAAGGTAGGAGACTACTAATTTATGCATCCAATGCACGTAGCATAATTACATGGGAGTTTGCTTCTAATACAATGAAGGGCATAGCTAGAAGTTCATAGCACAGAAAGTTATTCTTTATTGATCCAAGACATCTTGCCATCACCAAAACTAGCATTTCTTCACAACATTTTGGCATCAACAAAGCCATAGTTCCCATGAGTCCTAGATAATAGACACTATGAAGAGTGATTGTTCAAGTTATAGGAGTGAGAGGACAGGTAGGTCTAAATGATGTGGGCTGAAGAGGTAAGGAAAGGATTTAATATCGGAAAACAGTTTATCCAACGTTTGACCCTAAATAAAACAGAATAGAGAAAAAATATCCATGTAGCTGACTGCAAGGAATTTGGAACTGAACCTTAGTTGAATTAAGTAGATGAAGCAAAATAAAGCTAATACAGTATTCAGCTATGACAGACCAAAGTTCTCTAAGTGCATATAGAGAAACTAATTTAAATTAACCTAGAAACAATGAATGGTATGAACATGCTTTTAGATAGAATTGAAATAAGCAACATATAAAATGATACTCTGCCTTAATTCATTGTTAATGCAGGAAAAAAAAAGGATAAGATATACAACCAACTGGAATTTACCTGATCAAGATCCTTTGCTACAACAGTGCTACCCAAAGCAGCATAAAAAGCAAGTTTCATTCTTTCATCTTGAACTCTAACCAGATCAAAAAGACGTGGAACACCCTCTGGAGTGCTTGCATTATGTTTCATCTTTGGTAAAAGGTCAACTTGCTTCTCCTGCATTCAGGAAATGCAGAAAAAATAAATAAATTTCTAAAGCCAAGGAAACTTTGCTAAACCAATTAACCAACCACTAACATATTGACCAAGAAGGTTGGCCACTAAACCTAAGGCTGCAACTCTCCACTTTCCCTGATGCTAAATGAAATTTTAAGAAATTCAGGCTTCAGGAAATTCAAAACTACCTAAAGAATATAGGAGACCACAGTAGCAAACAAGAGAAAGGCCAAAACCATCTTTTTTGTTGCATCAACCAAGTGCTTCAGTACTAAAAATTATTTATTGATCACCATATGTCTTGCATAATGTTAATACACAATGTCCTCTGAAATTTCAAAATCCAACATATCAAGAGATTTAATGACCAGAGAATGCCTAAAATATGGTCTAAAAATGAATTGAATATGCAAAAGAGCTACAAAATTTGTGCGACACAAATGTTTTTGTTGTCAGACATCTGGTTTTAAGATTTTATAGTCATGTTCAGGGTATTGAACTGAACAGGCCTACACCTAACTCCCATGCCAGCAAGTTCTTTCAGATCTTCCAAACAATTTTAAAGAAAAGGTGGGAAAGTAGTATCAAGTTTTTTTAGTTGATACCAGTATCATGAAAGTTGCAACCCCAAGGTTCTCTCTTCGAAGCAGCTCCACACATGATTGTGCTGCAGCAGTTGTCTCCACCACAATATAATCAAGTCCAGGACAAGCTGTTGATATGGCAACATCATATTTTGCTGAAATGAAAACATCAATTTAACAGAAAAATGAGGATCGTGATCTAAAACTTTCAAAGATAAGAACACAGCCTCAAACATGAGTAATTTAAGAGGGAAAGGAGAGGAGGAGTTTTTATTACGTCAGTAAACAAACAATTGTCTTTGAGAACATGCAAAAAGGATTTCACCCTCGATATGCAACACTTACAGCAACACATATCACAAACTCATATTTACAGGATGACAAAATGAAAGCAAATCCAGATGCAGCAGCATAAAAGAATCCTAACTAGGCTTCCCTTTATTGCAATTTGGCATATTAATTTCAGAAATTCAGGTTATGTTGGACAAGATATGTTTATATAGTGTAAGACACTTACCATCAATGGCACCTAAATCTCCCATTCGCCCATATATTCCTCCAATTTTATTAGATTCCTTGGCATGCAAAATTGCTTTCAATACTGATCCCTGACTCTTTTCTGAATCAATAATTGACTTAAGTTCAGCAACCTTCTGTCTTGCAGCTTGTTCTACAGGAATAAGCTCTTCTTGTTCTTTGATGCAATCCTGCAAAAAGAAAAAGTGTTCTTGCCACATCCCATCAAGATTCAGGAACATAAAGAAGAAGATGAAGTTCAAAGAATTATCAGCAGAGCACAAACCTGTTCCACTTTACGAGCTTCTGATGCTTCAAGCTTGTGCTTTTCTATATCACTCTGTAATTTTGCAATGCTTGCAGTTTTCATCTCGATTTTTCCAGATATGTTATCCATCTGATTGTGTGCATCTTCAAAAGCTACACGACCAGCTTCATGCTGAAACAGTCAATGACTACATTTAGCCAACTAATGACATCTTTTACAAAGATTTGGACAGGGGATGAGTATCGTCAAAAACAGAACAAAAAAGTTGAAAAAGATTTATTTCTGAACCTATTATGTTTTGCATTATTGACACAAGTCATGGTTAAAGAACTCTTATCTACTTTGAAAAATCAGAGCCCAGATATTTGCTTTTTTATTGATAAAGAGGTTTTAGGTTTACATCCGAAAATATGTCCATTATAGGTTTCTAGTCAAGGTTTTAATTTCAGTTACAAGAGTGAATTTTGTAAGCATGGGAAAAATGGTATCCTCTGAAAATTCCTGCAAGGGGTGTTTTCCTTTTTACGAGTCATTAGTCTATTTAGTAATCCAATTTTATTTAGAATTCATAATTTGGTCTCGTTAGAAGGTTTTTAGTATAGTGGTCTTTGCTTAATAGAAATACCAATCAATCAAGCTTTTAATAAGAGTTTGGTTGTCGAATAAATTGAATTTATAAGTTATTCTGAAAGCCTGGTGCCAAAAGTTTTCTTATTTCTCCTCTTCTTTTATTTTCCCCTTGCTCCTTGCTTCGAAATGCCTGCTGCTTCAGTCCCAATGGAACTGCTCACAGCCTTAAATGGAACCCTGAATCATTCTAAAACAAATCTCTAATCAACTCCAAGTCCTTATTCACCATCTCCTAACCCTAACTAATCCCTATGATTTTGTAATCTTCAAGGTTGTCCTACATCAATTGTCTTATCTACGCTTAAATGTTGACATAACCAATTCCAATGTACCAGAAACCAGAGAACACAAATCACAGTAGGAATAATACCAGAGACTAAAAGAAGACACTCAAAACACACATTATACACGGTTATTGACTCTTTAATTTGAAATGAAAGAGACATGTAGGCACCAACCTCACCTTCTCATTCAAAAGCTTGCTTTCTGTAGATGCAACTTCAAGTTTTCCTTTGTGATCAATCAGTTGCTTTTCCCATGGTTCTAGTTCAGCACGAACTTTCACAAGTTCTGAGCGATCCGTCTCTGTTTCAACTGTTCATCAATCAAACATAAATAAGAAAATTAGTTGAACAGCAACAAGCACACATTTAAGCATGAGGTAAGGAATGGATTCTAAATAACTTACACTTCATTCCTCACAGCCCTACAATGTGCATGGAAAAAACAGAGAAATATCCCTATGCCAAAGATGCCAGCATAAAGCAAAAGGATACAAACAAGCAAACAATGAAAGAGCATCTACACCAAAATTGTACTAAAATGGGTTTCTTTATTTCTCAACTCCTTTATGTGGTTATACTCCGGTCTTTGCTCTTGCCCTATCTTTTCTTTCAATTACAGAATAATAATTTCACATCTTTCTAAAATTTGTAATAGTTACCAAATCCAACAGCAAAGTATATATATAACAAAAGCCTTTAAATTTTGATAATTTATTAGTCTTAGAAGAAACTGTCTTCATGTTTTCATTTCACTACTGAAGCTATTGTGAGCATAGAAAATTAGCTACTTCTAACAATTCCATTGTACTAATGATTTCAAAGACACAATGTTTTTGAATTTTATGCAGAGACTCAAGGATGTGTTGATCACACCTTAAATACCCATGCATAAAGTTTGGAATTCTCTCAAAACCAACTTTCTTTATATGCTGGACACTGTGTATGAGACACAAGATTATTAATCCCAACCCTGAACAACAATTCACAATCCCAAGCTCTAGGAGCATGCACTTTCATTTAACTATCAGTTTATTTCACCAGCACAACTATTAGATGTTTATTCAAACAAAGCACCAGTTTTGTGCTGCAAGATGGGTGCATAGTCATCAACAAGCAACAAAACATGAATCACCTAAAATGATGTCAAACATGTACAGTATAGACAAATTATTTCATGTTTGGACAAATGATATGGAATATAGGCACTAAAATAACAGATGTTCAATAAAAATCATTTCCTAATTTGTGCCCAAATCGATGAAAACGAAACTTTACAACCTTTAGAATTTTCCACAACATCCTCTAGTATTTTTTCCTCCTCAAGCAAGAGTTTTTGAAGTTTGGGAATGTTGTCCTCAAGTTTTGGAATCAAATTTGTCGATTCCTCACATTCTTTTGTTATGTCATCAATTTTTGACAAGTCCTACAAGGGAAACAAAAGTACGATCAATGTGTGTTTTCAACTGAAATAAATCACATTTTGATCCTACTTTTTCAAGTTTATCTTCAAGTTTCTTGATCTTTTGCTTCATGTGCTTCAGATTCTCCCGGTATTTAACATCCTGTCTTTCAAACTCCTTAAACTCCTCTTTACAACTTCTGAGATTGTTGTCAAGTTCCTGAATCCAATACAAAAGGTTGAACAGCACATCAACAAAATATGATAAGTCCAAATTTGGAATGATAATGTTAAATGCAGTCATGATAAATGATGGCTAAAAGAGTTTGATAGACTCAAGTTTTTCTCTGCATAGCTGAAAAAATCAAATATCAATTACAGTTGTTGAGTGTACAAGCACTAATTATAAACTATAGAACTCACAATACAAACCTCTTGTCTTTTAATATACTTGTTGTGAACAATCTCGAGCTGCTTCATTGTTTTATGACTTTCTTGAATCTTCTCTCTAGAAAATGATTAAAACTTCACTACTTGCAATTTTATGTTGTAAGGAAATCTAAAGCCAGTGCTATAACTGAAAAAGAAAAAAAAAAAAAACCTTTCAGCCTTTAGATTTTCTTCCACACTAGAAACACTTGTTTGCAATTCAGTCATTCTTGCACTAGTATCTTCATGGGCCAGTTTTGTGGCTTTCTCTTGCCATTTCAGTAATGTTAACTCTTTCAGCATGTAGGCCTCTGCTTCATTCTTCACATCCTATTTCAATGAAAGAAAACAACAAGTTGGTTAAACATGTTTGATAATGATGTGATGATATGCGACAAAGAAAACCAACCTCCAAGCTGTCTCTTTCCTTCTCAGCTAACTTAACCATGTGTACCACCCCGGATCTTTTCTCAGTAAGGGATTCCAACCTAAGGAATTAGTAAGAACATTTATAGAAAATAGAAAAATTACTTGTCTTTGTCTCTGTACATGGCTTTTCATACAATATAAGTCATGCAAAATTTTCAAAGAGATCACGGATAAAATGCAAAAAGAGTGCATATGATAAACCTAACAATAAGAAAAGTACTCACTCTTTAGATGACTCGTCAATTTTTTCAACATATTTGTTGGTCCCAATTATATCCTCTAAATATTCAAGGAAACCTTCATCATGGAGTCCTTGGGATTTCGGCTTCATCAATGAAATCTGCTCAACTTCACCCTAACAAAAACCAGCAAGCAATTCTCAAAACCTATGGAAACATACTCAGGGCTCAAATTACAGCAGTGGTTTGATAACAAACCTGGAGAATCAGAAAACGGTTATTGTCCAGGTCAACTCCTTTTCCTTTCAGTTTCTTTGTAACTTCAGTAAAATTGCTCGAACGATCATTGATGTAGTACTTAGATGAGTTATCCCGAAATGCCACCCTTGTGATTACAAAATCACTTCCTGGAACAGCCTCATAGGTCTCATCATCCTATAATGGTTAACATAGTTTTCAAGTATCATGACATTGGAATCAATCAAGAAATTTTTTGTAATCAGGTGATTTCAAAAACAGAAACCCTCATACAATTAATAAAATAACTGTGTATCAAGAAACAGAAACAGCATAGAATCTTGAAATCCTATTTTCTTTTCTTGTAAACTATTTGGTTGTTTGGAAAAAAGAAGATAAAAGCCAATACTTGCTAGGATCAAAACCCAAATTACCAGATCAATAATCTCCTGAAAATGAACAGAAACACCAGCGCTGTCCAAATTCTGATGATTGGTTGAATTGTGGATAAGTTCCGAAACTTTGTTAAGTCTCATCTGCAAATTCAAAACCAACACAAACATGCAAAAATTGAAAAACCAAGAACCAAATAAATAAACTAACATACAGAAAGCTTCCTTGTCAAAGAAAAAACAAATTCGCAACAACTTATTAGCTTTCAGAAAACACATGCCATTTCTTAACTGGTAAACCTAACAATTTGCATAATAGAGAGAGAGAGAGAGAGAGAGCGGGAGGGACGGAGAGAGAGCGCACCTGTTTCGCTCGCTTTCCGAATACAAATAACATTGCATCTATCACATTGCTCTTGCCGCTCCCGTTGGGCCCCACCACAGCAGAAAAACTCTAAACCCCCAAATTGAAAAACAAAGAAACGTTAATTTAGCTGAAGAGAGAGAAATTTGAATTCCGAATTCAATTTTAAAAAAAAATGGATAATTAAGCACAGAATCAAACCCTAGATGTGGAAATTACACTAAAAAGGCGGAACAAAATTAGGGGAAATTAAAACCCTAACCAACCTTGTGGAAAGGACCAACGCGTTGTTCACCAGCGTAAGATTTGAAGTTCCTCATAATCATTTCTTTAATGAACAGCCTCGGGGCTTTTGAAGATCCGCCAGTGGAAGTGCGAACTGAGTCGGACTCGCTCGCCATGAACTCATCGTCCCCTGATTCCTTCCCCATCTTTTTCATGGCTTCTCTTTGGGTTTTTTCTGTTCTTTCTCTATGAGTTTTTGTGATTTTGTACTGAGTCTGTACTCTACCAAGAGGTCCCTCCCAACAAAAGAATTTAAAAAAAAAAAAACAAAAAGAAAAAACAGAAATATGTTTTTTTTTTCGGGGGAGGGAGAGGGTTTGGCGGGACTTTGAAATGGTGTGATTTTTTTAAAGTTGTAAATGGGCCGCGTAGGTTGTTGGGCTTATCATTTTAGTGGATGGAGTCCATTTTGTGCATTTGCTGTTATCACAGCATAGCTTAGGCATAAAATTATTATAACTATTATAATTATAAATAATAATTATAAAATTATAAAAAGCACTTAAAAGGAATGCTTAATTACTGTAGCTGTAGGCACTGTGGATTGTGGATTATGACTCAGTTGTATTGTTGGTCTTTTTTTATGTTCATGCTTTTTATGGATTGCCATTGACATCTGTTGTATTTGTACTTTTTTCGATATCTTATGAACCGTTATGCCTACTAAGAGCTGTAGTGCGTCTAACCTTTTTTATTTCTTTTGGTGAGATGGTTTTCTTTTGGCCTTTTTTATTTTTCGTTTGAGTCCCTTACTGATGTTGTGTTGTTACATCTTTATCTTTATTTTTTCTCCAATTTGTTTTCTGCTAAAGTGTTTTTCATCATTTTGTGTCTCTTTTTTTGTAGTGCATTTAATGGGACTGCACAGAAGGTTTTTTTTTTTTTTTTATCTTCTCCCTTTGTTTTCTCCTTGGCTTTCTTTTGGATTTGCTTTCTTTGTAGATGAATAGTTTTTTGGGTTTCATCTTTTTTACTAGTTGTTGTATCGATTGTGAGAGGGGTTTGCTATTATTGTCAGTTCTAGCCTAATTTGTGACCATCCCATCGGAATTAAAAAAATAAAACAACTATTTTTTTAATATCTTAATTTTTATACAATCACATACATTAATTAGCGCTTTAAATTTTTTTGAATTTTTAATTTAATTTTCAATTTAGCTTTTACAAATTTTTATCTAACGATCAATATATCAAAAAAAAAATCATATTTCGTTTAAATATAAAATTTATATAAAAAAAACATAAATATAGATTACTCACATGATAAAAATGTAAGTTCCAAATTTAACATTTTTCTTGTAACTTATTGACAAGTTTCAAAAAAATAAAGTAGTCAATTGTGAACTTAAAAACTATCGGGATGTAGATTTATAACTTTTTTGCAATTTTCAAATTGAATCATTCAAAAACACAACATCCTCCACTTTCCTATTGTTTTAAAAAAAAAACTTTCACTATTAAATTTTTTATTTAGATTATTTTATTAAAAAATCATTACAACAAAAAAAAAATCATATTTCTTTTCAATATAAATTTTAAAAATAAAAAACATAAACATCGATTATTCATAGAATAAAAATTTAGCTCTCGATTTCAATTATTTTCTCCAATTACTCACAACACATTACTTTAATGAAAATGAATAATAAACAAATGAACACTAACCATTATCTTATGATTATTTCTATACTAAAACTCTTATCCTACAATACTTACAATATTATATATCACATATTCTAGTATTCTTGGTCACAATAACTTGCTATACATTCTAAATATTACATGATCTTACTCTTTTATTAAATAAAAAAGCAATGAATCAAAATTCCATGAATGAAAAAATAATATTAAAAAACAACAATAATAATTGATCTTAAAAAAAAAAACGCCGACTTAAACCATTTCATAAACAAGATTTATATACATCTATGTACTCCAACCATATGATATCAATAAAACAAAAAAACAAAACAATATCAATAATAAGAATAAAGAAAGTTATATTTGACTTTAAAAAAAAAAAAAGCTTTCAAAACAACATAAATTTCTAACTACTTTAAGCATCAAATATAAATCCACCGCAGTCGAAGCGCGAGTCTCTAGGTAGTACATGTCTAATTAATATGGGTTTAATGAAAGATTTAATAGTTATATAGATCTGTTTATTTTTATTTTTTTTAATCTTTATCGCATCTCTCTATTATTTTTCATTTTAAGTTTATCTCTTTACATTTGGTCTATGTCTTAATCTCGTCTCTTTGTTAATTTTTTTGACTAACGGTATTAAGTTATTTCCTTATATCTTAATCTCATCCCTTTATTATATTTTACTATCTTAATTTTTTTTATCAATTTTAAATAAAGAAATTTTGAAAAAATTTAAAAAATAAAGATATTTCTTATCGGTCTCTCTAAAAATTGAAATAAAAAACCTTGAAAAAAGAAGTGAAGTTTTTTTTATCTAAAACATCTTTTATAGACTTAAATTTGTTTATGTGATAGCGAGTAAGTTTTGTGCATAATATAAAATATTTGTAGTTTTTTTTTCCCTAATGTGTCTCTATGATAACAAGCAAATTTTGAGTATAAAATAAGATAGTGCTCCATCCGAATCACTCGCAAATTTTCAAAGAGCGATTGGATACCACCGGCTCCACTTGAAAGCCTGTCTCCATTGAGACAAAAGACTTTTACTTTAATGAGCTTAGGATAACATATTAATTAATTATTTATATTACATTTAAATTATTAATTTAACATAAAATGTACTAATATTAATTTTTTCTCTTCATATAGAAGTACTTTTTCTAGATGCGACCGTAGACGAACCGATTAAGGATGTATGAGAAAGTCCGACACGAAGGCGATACTCCGACATGCTGAATAAGTTTAAGCAAAAGACTAACAAACCCACATATATTACGGAGTAAGTGTGGGAATTATGTTTGCGAGTGTAACATTTCCAACCTAGAACCTAAATTGATTAAGAATATTACTATCGTTGACCTACATTCGGAGTGTAATGAATACAAGTCAACAAGAAATTATGACTTTCTATGGTATTACTAGGTATGGTTATACTGTGAAAGCTTTTAAAAAATAACTAATAGCTCCTCAATTTCAGCCCTAAATGCACTCGCTAATTTTTTTTCATTTTAACCTTTTATTTAAATAGCTTGGACTAGACTCGACTAAATCTATGTCCGTTGGTTTTGTCAAATTCATTTTCTATAAGTTCGGTATAAAATTATTAAATCCATTTAGTTGATAAACATTACTCGATAGATTAATCCTTTCTTTTTATTAATTTTATTCTTTTCCTTGTTATTTTTGTGATCACTTAATTGTTCAATTTATCATTTGTATCGGCATGCAAATAATTAATTAAAGAAAACTACTGCTATTACATATCACTATACTATTATTACACATCATTATACTATTACATTATCATCTACATGTCCAAATTATGGTTATACAACCTATCCACATTTCACCACACTACTACAAAAGTGGTTTTTTTTTTTCAAACTATTTCATACCATTAGTTAACCATTTACTTGTTCATAACCTTTACTATCATGTAGAATAAAGATGTCATACCTAGAAGGCAAACCAAAATACCCAATACTAGAAAACCCATAGCATGAAGAAGGTCTAATTTGTATCCACAAGTAAGATATACATGACAAACAGATCAAATATGACCCTTCGGTAACTGACTCAAAAGCGAACATCGCCATTAATCCTTATCTTTAGTTCCTACATCACAAGAATTAGTAAGCGATTGCTTATTAAGTTAATCATGCATGCTATATATGTGTGCAAGTGAAATGCACATGAAAAAGAAAACATTTTTCATGTTTGTTCGGAAATTTTTGTTCCATGCCATGTAATCATTTTTTCATGATCATTCTAAAAAATCTTTTCTACCTTTGAACAAGTCCTATCGAGCATCTAAATGTACACATGCTTGATCTTCCATTGAGCATCTAAATATGCACGTACGCACATGCTCGAAGGCTGAGCATCTAAAAGTATATGTCTATATCTGTTTGGACTTGTCAAGTATTTGAAAATATACGTCCGTACCCACTTAACCCATGAAATCCATGAAGCATGAAACCATAAAACTTTTCCCATTTTCCTTTGGAAAACCATAAAGGAAATTCTATTCATGACTTTAAATCTTTCCATGACTTGGCATGTACATCCATTTTAATGTAAATGCATAACCTCATTATTCATTAGAATACGTGCCATGATTGAAATGCATTTATGTAGTGAAATTACATGCTTTAATAACATAAAAATGCACATCATAAGTCATTACTGTCTAATTCATCTCATTCCAAACATTGAAACATTTAGCATGGTAACCATATCACATCACATTTTGCAAGATCACTTAATCACATGGTTAATTAATGGTGAAATTTTCAATTTTAAAGCAATTTTTAATACTAAATCATCTCTTTATACTTCACTAACATGAAATTAATCAACCAAACATCAAATAAAAAAATGCTCCAAAAACCCATAAATTCACTATTTGGGTCGAAACTTCTAACAAGAATAGGTTAAGAAAATTTTTATTTTATTTTACTCATTTTTATGCTCAATTCACATATTTTAATATCAATTGCATTAATTTCCATATCTAAATCACTTGTCCTAATTTTTCATAATTAAGAAACCTAACCTTAATTTGTGAAATTAATCCAAATAAACACAAATCAAAGGTATAAAATCATCAACTAACATCAATCAACATACTCTTATAATATAGGTGAGATTAACTTACCTCAAAAGCTCCAAATTATTCTTTGTTAGCTTGAATTTTCTTGGAATTTCTTCTCTCTTTTTCCTCCCAAACTTTTTTCCAAACCCTAACTTTTTCTTCCTTGGAAATTTTGCTCCACCACCTAAAATTATAAGCTTATTGAAGTCTTTTTGGGTGATCTAAAGTGTTTAGGTAAGATTGTTTATGATTTTCTATGGAAATTTTTCAAGAATTTCCTCTAGTTTTTCCAAATTTTCTAACATTTTCTACCTCTTTTTTTAGTTCTATTTATAGATACACTAAGGTTGGCTTTTTGGTGGTTTGACTTGATCTTGGCCCTTCATTTGATTTAATCTCCACCTT